ATATGTTTACATTTATTTTGAGGATGAGTGGCCTTCCTTAAACCGAAAGGTTGGCGGTTAATTCCTTGCCGGTTCCATTTTTGAAATTGTGGCCTTGAGCAAGCCACTGCACCCACATTGCCCTGTATGGATGTGTGTGACCGGTGGGGTGTGTTTGGTGGTGGGCATGAGGCTGTAGGCATGAAACGGCAGCCACGTTCTGTCAGTCTGCCCTATCCAGCTCACCAGTGTGTGAATGTGGAGTGAATGAAAAATGCCAATATTATTTTCATTAGCAAACGTTGCATTTAGATTCTTGTAATTCACATTTCACCATCAAAGACTGAAGAGAACAATGGTTCTGAGTGCAGTTACCAGTTTAATATTTGAGAGTTAAGTTGTCAAGGTAGATTTGAGAGAGGCCTTTTCTAATAATAATAGCTTTAATAAAAAATAATAGCTTTTGCTTGAATTTTTATTGTAGTTTCCATGGCGCTTAACTACAGTTCTATGAGAGCACTGTCTGAAGTAATTTAAGGATATCTCTTCATTCTTCAGCTGTTTTGTTGAGGGAAATTGGGTTTAATTAGCTTGAATGCATTGCCCTGGGTCAAACTGACAGAACATTAGAAGCAACCGGAACCTGGTTGACACTGGTTCATCCCAAAAACCAAGATAAACAGAGCCCATTGTCTAAAAAGAGAGGACTGCTAACTCTTCAGAATACATTTGTTTTTAACAGTCCTTCAGTATACTCAATAACATGCACATTTTAATCTGGACATGGAGTAGATAGCTGGTCAAAAAATAAACAGAAAAGTTTTTTTCAAGAACCAGATGGTGCTTTAGATGTCTTCTTCCACAGGCTGACCGGACTTGAGTTTTAAAATCACCTGTATAGTAAACGAGAGGAAAATGTGAGCAGAAGGTGGCGTTTTATTGAATAAATTACACAAACGCACCTCTTTAAGCTGAGCAATTTCCTTGCTGTCTATGTTCCTCTGAGCATTGTTGGTGATGGCTTTCACACGCGTTGCGTAACTGAAAAACAAAGCTGGAATTCAAGTTGATGCAGCTATTCAACACAATGTGAACTGATGTGAAAGTAGAGTTAAAAAGTGGCGAAAACCATTTCTTCATTTGATAATTTGAGTTCACAAACTCAAATTTATTTAAACTGTTTGAAGCAACTGACTGTACAGTCCTGGCACTCTACCGGGTTATTAATAATGGTTTCGACTAATTAATCTTCATTTGACCAACTGAAGGATGATGCATAAAGCTCTCACATGAGGGAGGTGAGCGTCTCGTCTAGAGTGCCATCAGATGGCGAGATGTTGAGGATCATGAGCGTCTTAGCATTGCCCCCCAGAGAGTCCTGCATCAGCTGGGTCAGCTTGTTGTTCCGGTATGGGACGTGAGTTTGCTCCAGAGACAGAGCTGAAATCACATCCCCGAGAGCACTCAGAGATTTATTAATGGAGTTTGCTTCCTGGACGGAAACAAAAGCATTTGGGCTGTTAAATACACTTTTATTCTACACTTTTCTCTTCTATTTGACACAGTTGGATAAAGTTAATTGGAAGAAAAATATCTGAAACGTTTCTGATAAAAAATTGTATCTAAACAGTTGAACGTTATAATATGGCAAAGATTTGGAAAAATTCCCAAATGTTGGTTAGACTAAAATGACATGAAGTGAACTTTCCCAAATTTTTTTTGTTCTGTTTTCTATCCAAGTTGACTTTTCCTGTGCAGCATAGAAAACATGCAATTACTCTATTGGCTCCTACAGTAACATTGTATTTTAAATCTATTATTAGAACCTTCAGCTGATCGTCTTTGGCGCCGGTTTTTGCAGCTCGTTCACTTCCTGCCAGGTCCACTAGACTCAGCTTCCCGAAACTCACGCTCCCATTGGTCAGATTGCGACTCTCAATCATGATGCCGATGATCAGGTGTGAGCGTGAACTCTCTACGTTCATCTCTTGCATCGAAACAGAATAAAATAAAACAGGTATAATACTGTTTAATAATTAACATAATCAAAATATTTTAAAAAGCCTCTTTGCTTGCACGAAGGGATATAGACATTAGGCATTTCATTTAAACATTCCATTTTAGCTGCTCCCATTGGCTGAGTTTAATCACGTGATTAAATTGAGATTCAAAGTGTGAAAAAGAGACTCGATTCAGCCTATAATTAAAAAAAATGATCATATACACACATATAACAATACTAAATTGATTATAAAACATAACATTTTTTTTTATATTAACATTATTTCTGGTGAACGTGAAACGAGATAATGGTGCCCCCCCTCTGGCAATGGGTGCGTGTAGGGCAGTGGTTCTCAAAATTTTTTTGTTGAGCACCCCTTTAACCACCCCCCCCCCCCCATAAAGGGGGCGTAGGGGACAGTTCACCTCTCCCAAATGAAAGGGGGGGAGGGGAGATAAACTTTCATACAAATAACACGCACATTTCTTTCATAATATTGCTGTCACGTGCCCAATTCAGGAAAAAAAGAAGAAAAGATAAAGGTATGCAATTATGTTCTCTCTGTATGATTAAGGTGTTCATGTCATTATGAGGTATAACGTTAACTCTTAACCTTCTTCCGTATGATGTTATCTATGCTAACCTACCTTGCTAAAAACACACACAAAGCCATATACAAACTATCACAGAAATTCTAATGGTTTATATTATACAGGGGGGTGGCACATGAGTAAGTCTCGCCCAGGGCGCCGTTCCACGTAGAACCGCCACTGAATGCGTGAGTCTTATGTTCAATGTGTGAGAAACGGCAGCTCTGCAGTTTCCCTCGTGAGTATGGATGCGGAAACATCGTTGCAGCTACCGTAGTTTTTTTTCCATTTTCGTTTTTTATTTTTAGATGCTCAAAACTTTTAAGATCTCGCAGGCCACATTAGATTACATGGTGGACCACATCTGGTCCACAGGCCTTGAGTTTGACACATGTGCTCTACGTCTTTAGCCTGTTTATTTTTTTTTGTTTTCTTCTTCTCATCTGCTGATGATCTGCGCCCACCCTGCAGTGCCTGTGCGCCCCCCCGCTTTGAGAACCACTGGTGTAGGGAGCGGCGCTACTGTCTGAGCATAAGTTCATCCAAAAAGAGGTAAATCCACAACATTTCACCAGACATTTCGAAATATCTTTGTTAACCTACTCGTGGCGGCGATGTGCCGGTTTGCACAACCTTGCTCGAATAATGCGAAGAGTTCTCCCGCGCTGGCTGCATCCTTCATCTCAGCTCCTTGGGCAAATACAAGCCCCTTTCTGTCTCTCTTAATCTCAATTCTCTTATTGAAGGCCTCAGCAGGGGTCACAAAGAGATCCTGCAAACGATCGTTGTACAACTCCAACATATACGCGGAGACCTGAGAAAGATCAATCGAGATCAACTTTTGTGGAACCTTCCATGAAAATAGATCGAGGTGCGAGATAAAAGAAACAAGAACCTTAAAGTCAAACTTGGACTCGTTATCCTGGATAATCTCAAAGATTTTGGTGAATGTTCTGGGAATGATTCCTGGGTTCCTCCGATCTCTGTCGCCAACCATTGTAAAGGTTTTTCCTGAACCCGTGTGGCCATACGCAAAAATGCACACGTTAAATCCATCGATGGCGCACTGGATTAGCCTAGCAACAAACAAGGATTCATTTATAAATCCTAAATATGTACGAGTATGCCAAGCAAACTCGACAGGTATTAAAATAGCGATGGTGTTTTTCAGGAAAAGAAGAATTAAATGTGTTCAAGTTTCATAGTTTCAAAAAAGACTGAGGACGTTTTTTTTACACATCATTTTATTTGACAAGCTTGTTGAATTCTGGCAAATATTCTTAACCATTGACTCACTTGAATTGACTAGAAAAGCTTCAGGGTTTGGTCAGAAGATCACCACCGTGTGATTGGTGGTTAAACATCTGACCCATAAAGGTTTCACGTTTATTTATTTCATGATAATCTCAGCCCAGCTTCTTCACAAATTACAAGAACAAGATTTTATTTCTTTGATTGTTCCATAAGAAAAATAAATGCATATATTTTCAGCTACAGGTACATTGCAGTACATTTGCATTTTTGTGATTATTATAATAATAAACATGTTTTTTGTATTTTCTTTTGGAAACTTGTGACCTAATGAACTTATTTTAATTTCTTATTTTTCTTTTGGGGGTCTTTGCACAGAAAATATCTTTTGGACCCAGCAGAAGAGAAAGTAACCAATGGAACGATTTTTTTTTTTTTTTAACAAACTTAAGACAAAGTAATAAAGTACATTCCTCTCACCCACTGGACTCAGTGAAGATCTCCTCCTGTGTGCATTGTGAGTTGAAGATCTTGTCGAACTGAAACTCACGAGGTCCTCGAGGGGTCTCCAAGATCACAGAGTAGTCATCAAGACAAGTGATGACTACTTGACCTTTTTTTGCTTGCTCTGCACGCGTCAAAGGCCTTATTCGGCAGAACACTCTAATCTTTCCTGAACAAGATCAAATAATGTCAGGGAAAATACAAATCAATTCTTTAAAAAATCATTTTATGAAAGTTATATTTTGTATTGAATATCTGAAATGAGCTTGGAATCGCCATTCAACCATTTTGTACTTACATTTTTGAAAAGTTTACAAAGTTCATGTTTTACATTAATTATATGCCAGATATAATCAAGCCGTCCTCGGTGCAGTTTTGCGGTTTTGGTGAGGGTAGGGGTTCAGAAAAGGGGTATCAGGGGATTGATTGAGGGGTGCTATCAGCGTTTTGTGACTGGCCTGTGAAACCCAAGACAGAGTTTCCCTGTTTCAGATCTCCCCATGGTGTGACTAGTCAAGGCCATCTGGTCAGCAGGGGGCGGTGTCAGTCATGAGGAGGAGGGGTCCAGTCTGAAGTACGTCAGGGCCGAGAGGAAGCCATGCAAGGTCCCATTAATAAATAAATAAACAAATATATACAATTACATTTAGGCATTTAACAGGCACTTGATTCTTTCTTTCCTTGGGATTTGAACTCACGACCTTTGCATTGTTGGCACAATACTCTACCAACTAAACCACTGGAAAGCTATGTGTTTAGCAGAGTAAAGACAAGTGCAAAAGGGTTTTGCGCTCCTGGGTGGCCTCCTCTGGTCCCAAATGAGACCTTCCCAACTTCCCAAGGAAAGGTAAGTGTTAATAATCTGAGCCCATCGTTCTCAACGGGTTCACCAGGTTAGGGTTTGGGTTAGGATTAGGGTTAGTGTTAGGGTGCATGACAAAAACGTCATCTGCAGTCTGCTGCTAGGACGGTTTTGATGTAACACTAATCATTGGCTGCTGACACATTCTTCTCAGTTGCTTGCCCTGATTGTTTTAGTAGTGCGACCTCTAGTTGTGGGACAAATTGTAATTAATGTATACCATCCTTCATTTAAGTAAATCCGGAGTGTTTTAATTTGTTCACTGTCATTTTAAAGTTGACTCACAGGTGGATTAAAGTATGAAATAAAAATGCCTGGGAGTGTTTTTGCACATTTTAAAAATCATCTGTGTGGTTAAACAGCTTTAGTTAAACTGTAAGACTGTGACATACCGCACCTTTCATATCCTCCACCATGTTATAGTACTTCTTCCTTAGGGTTCTTTCTGTTGTGTAGTTCTCGATAACCTTCTTGTTGTCATCTTTGATTTGTTTTAACTAAACAAACAGATATGTAAAAAAAAAACCATTATTTTCATGCTGTTTGATCACTGTTTTGTTTTTTTAAAGGCAAGGCTATTTGCAAGACAATGTTATTTGTGTAGCCCAAAAATAGGATTTTATCTTGGCATTTGTTTCATCCATCATCAGAGTGACAGGTTTGAGTAGGTGTGGATCTTGATCTTTGGAAGTAGTCATGTACTGCTCTGATTGGCCAAATTTGGCAAATTTATGCAGGCCGCCTTTTCAACGTCTCCTCTGTCTGAAATAGTCTGAACTCTCATGATTGTTTATATATAGAAAAGATTAACAAACCTGATGGTGAAATCTTGAAAATACAACGGTATCCATTCTTTCTTAAAATCAGGATTTGAAAGTAGGCATCACAACAATTGATTATTTCACAAAACTGATTGTTCCTGGTCCCTGATTGTCCATTTTTTTAAACCTCCTATTGGTATAGTCTTTACCGCGTTTTTGTGGTTTCTGAGTGATTTTTTTAATCAACACGTGTGAATGTGATTTTTTTTATTATTTTTTTGTGTGGACATAACCTCAGAGAATGCGTTCAAAGGGCCTTAAAATAAAATAATCACAAATTATTTAGTTTTAAGTAAAACTTTCTATGAAACTTGTCGAAATTTGTGTTTTTGGCTGCTTATTTTGGTTTATCAGCTCATGACCACTTTAAGCTTAGACCCTGAAAGATTAGTCTTGGCAGTGGTTACCTCAGCTTGAAGTAATAGCAACTGCTGTCCAACACTTTCAGCATTTAAGAATCCATTTATTCTGAAATCCTCTTCAAATTTCTGAAACCAAAGGGTAATCGATCAGAAATTTGAAAGGTAGCTGTATAAAATGTGTGACTTTGCCATACTCTGACTCTTTCATCGAGCTCTGCAGTCCATTCCTCACTAGCAACAGACCCTAGGAAACAAAGAGTGAACTTTACTTTTCATAACATTAAACAAACAGGATTTTTTTATGCTGCGTTTACCAATAAGAGTTGGTTTAGCCCCTGATCTGATGCACTCTAAAGCCACTTGTATGACCTCATGAAGGAGTAAATCAGAATGTGGTGCATGATCCATCTGCACGTCTTCCCTGAGTGAAACAAATGACTGGTTTTAATTGATGCTTGTAGAAAAGCTTTAAAGCAGGCATATCCAAAGTCGGTCAAGGAGGGTCTTTACACAAATCTGGATGTATTAATTAATCTCCTCTTGACTTGTTTTAAACTAGACTGGTTTTTGTCTGGAGCATGGCTGGATCTCCTGCAGCCCTCCAGGATCTACTTTGAAAATGCACACTTTAAGGAATTAAAGATATACGGTAAACCTGTCATCGCACATTTTTTGCTGCACATCCTCTTCCTCCTCAGGACTCTTCTCGTCACATTCTTTGACCGTTTGCTCAAGCTTTTCTTTGATCTCCACCAGTTCTTTCTGATTATCTTCTGCCATTTTATCAAACTGTTCTTTAGCTTCTGTCAACGCAGCATAAACTTGATGAGACTGAAACACACAAACGAAGTCTGATCTTCCAGTTGCATTTTTAAGAAATGTACTGTAGTGTTTTAAAAACAGTCCAAAAACATTTCTACATTTTGTGTTACGGGATTTCTGACATTCCAAATAAATACTAATCTTTGGTGATGTTTTTTGTCTTAACATTTAAATGATGACACCATTTCCTCTTTGATTAAACTATTCTGTATAAATGCATAACCAAAATATATTGTGTTTCTCTGCACAATGTTTAAAAATGACAATGTTACTGTTTTGTTATTACAAAATACAATATTACAAAGGTGCTGTTTCAAGGAGATTGCTGTTTTAAATTAATAATTGTCTCTGTTTTATTCATTCATTCATTTTCTAACTCGCTTATTCCCTTTTGGGGTCACGGGGGTCTGTCTCCAGCGCACATTGGGCAAGAGGCGGGGGTACACCCTGGACAGATCGCAGATTGCAGGTCTCTGTTTCAAAGTGATTAAATTACTTTTCAAAAGTTATAAGGTTCCCTGTTTCAAAGTGATATCATTACTGTTTAAAATTCCTAAATGTATTAAGTTACTGTAACAAATTGATATATGTATTGTTTCAAAGCTACAAAGTTACTTTATCCATGCGATAATACTATTTCAAATTGATAAACGTACGTTTTCAAAATATAAAAATGGGTAAACTACTGTTTTTAAATGATACAGTTCATGTGTAATAGTGTTAAATTGATCAAGTTACTGTTTCAAAGGGATATCATATCGCTTTCAAATTCATAAATTGAGAAAGTTACTGTTTCAAAGTGATATAGATAATGTTGGTATTACTTTATAAAATGACCCAATTAAATGAAAACCTTTGAAAGATTTACAGATTCATGTCGGTTTGTGGATTCAGAAGATGTTTTGTTTTTCTGCTAAGGAACTCAAATGAAAATTTGCTCAATAAAAGACAACAAACATGTTTTTCTTTAAAAGACCATCTAAATAACCTGTTGTATAACCGCAGTGAGGAGGTGAGCATATGCTGACTGCTCCACAGCACCAGTAGCTCGCTTTTGTTCTGCCATGAGCATCGAGAGCTCTCTCTCCCTCTTCAGCAGGTTCTCTGTTAAACTCAGCAGATGAGCTTGTGCTCCATCTAGAGGTTCATTTGTTTCACCACTGATCTGCTTGTAGGGTAAAGTTGAGCAATTTGTTTATCAAAATCAAACTTTCCATTAAAAAATTGCTTGATGAAGTCCAGAACTCAAAAGTGAGTTATTGATTTTCTACCTCTTCAGTACAGTTTTGTTCTTCTTTCTTTTCCTGAATGCTCTGAAGAATCTCCTGTACTTTTCCCATCTCTGCACGAGCCAAATGTAGTTCTTGGAGTGCTGTCAAACAGATGGTAAATCAAACAACTAAAAGTCTATTTGTGAGTTACATTTATATTTGATTAGTTCTTGCTTTCCCTGGAGCTCTAACCTGTACCCTTCATATAGCACCATGTTTTACTTCAGACAAGAGTTTCTGAAAATGACTCTTTGGATTCACTCTTACTTGATGCCTGGTGGCTGTGAAGGATATCCAGACGGGAGGAGAACTGGTCCATCATCTTGTTCTGGAAAAGTTGTCAAGAGTAACATCTCACCGTGTAATTGTGCGTACACCAAACCTCATCTAATACCTTTTCTTTATCCCACGAGGCCATGACTTTTTCATTTTTATCCTCAAGCATTTTCTGTTGCAGCTGAAGGCTCTCATTCAGATCCTCCAGAGTCTTATCGCAACAATATTTTGAACAGATTACACAGAAAAGTAGCCGTAGCAGCAACAATCACAATGAAGTGCATATCAAGTTTAAAGGGTTTAAAAGTATGAAATTTTACTGTATTTTTTAATTGTATTTTTTTTACTGTATTAAAGTCGATGAGGTTTTAGGGAAAGGGTGGTGTTTGTAGTACTCACCCTAATCTTCTCTTCCCAAAACAGGTTTTTTCTTGCCACTTTTTCCTGATAAATGTCTAGGACTCTCTTCAGGGTACTGAGCTTATTTAAATAATGTCCTTTCATCTTCTGGACAGTTTTTTCCTAACGGCATATACATATTGCTAAGAAGAACACATTTTTGATCTTTGTCATTTGCAATGCACACAAAAAGGTGACAAGATGACCACCTGATTGTCCCGGGAGGCACTGACAAAGTTCTCTTTCATTTCTTGAATAACCTCTTGATGTTTGCTCTTCATCGCCATCATATCGCTAGTGATCTGTTGGTCAAATTCTCAATGTTAAGATTTTGAAATATTCAGTTAATACTAACGTTTTCAGCACTGTCTGCAAAGCGGTTCAAATACTTGAAATAATATCAGCATTAAGAGCTTTTGAGTTTTTTTTACGCCGATGTTTTTGTGTGTAATGGTGGTTTTAAAAGCAGCGCCTTCTAGAGGTTTCCCCATGCCCTGTGAATAAACGTCGTCGCTAAAAGAGGCATACAAAGGTTGCGGGTTGCAAATAACTAACAACCGCTGCTTTTTCTCAGTTAAAAATAGACATTAAAAGTAGCATTGTTGTAATGGACTGTTTAAAAGTGAATTTATTAGTTAACGACTCCGGTGACACGTACATGAGGCTAAAAGGTTAGCCTCTGTAGTATGGAATTAATTTTGTGCCAAAAAAAACGAACAAAATTTCAGCAAAAACGAACGCAAATAATTTAATTACAAAGAAAATCTGCCTGTAAACAAAAATAATCAATTACCATAAAAATCGACTTTAATTTCAAACACATTTTTTTTGTTTGTTCTGTTTTAAGCTTCGATTTTGCTTTCAGGAATCTAATTTTTCATTTGCGATCCTGAAAGTTATCTTTGCCATTCTTCACAAAATGAATTCCACACAG